TACTCAAATCAATCACACAAAAATACTCAGCAACAGACACTGCATTTATAACATCCTCCACCAAATTTAAAGGATAGGTAGTGATTCATCTGAAGATATTTATTCAACGTTAACATTACCTTAAAAATCAACACAAACTCTAATGCTTTTTCCATCTTTTCGAGGGACAATCACTATGGGGCTTGCCCACTCACTATTCCTCACTGGTTTCAAAATCCCCTTTTTTACCATATCATCTAACTCTTGATCGACCACTGGTTTGAGAGTATAAGGTACAGAGTATGATTTATGAAACACCGGTGTAGCATTATCCTTAAGAATCATCTTTACAGTCATAAATTACATACTCTTTCAATGTGGCTCTGCTTGCCACAGCCCCGACAATTCCACTTGGCCACTGGACAAGACGCTGGATTGTGGAATTGTCCGCATCGATAACATGGAGGAAATTTCTCCTTTACTGCATTTACACATTGTTCTGGCCTGTGTTCATCTTTATTCAACTGCTTCAACTCTGATTCCATAGCTTCCATGGCCACAGCAGTTATTTTTTCTGTGCTTAACAATTTTTTTTCAATATCTTTTCCTGCAAGACTACAAGTCAATTTATCTCCAATGCATCATCCAAAAATGAATTGAAACCATAATGCTGTGAAGCATTTCTAAGTTTTACAATAAAATTAGACACCGACTCATTGTCTAATTGTTGCAGCTTGTAGAATTTAAAACGTTCAGCATTAACCTAACAAATTATTTATAAAAATGAGAAACATTGTTGGAGGCAAAATTGAGCCTTGGGGAACGCCGGCATTCATAAGCAGTGTACCAGAAGACACACCATCGACCACAACATGCAGTAACCTGCCTTTCAAAACGCTCCCCAGCCAATGGCAAAATTCTTTCGGAAGACCATACTGCACTCTGGCACATTTTCAGATAGACGGAAAAACGCATGGGGGAATGCCGTCGAGAACACAAACAAGATTTCCCAGTGTAAAGTCGCAGAAAAAAATTCCTAATGATTTTAGGTCTAAATACAACGTTGTCCATGTAGGAACCAATGTGTGGCCTTACCTGTGATATTCTGCTATTATCCTCCTTCGTGGAATTGGATGCAAATTGTTTGGCAGAAAGATCTGCTTTTTCCCTTGACGATATTACATTATTGTCCTTAACTAGAGGTGGGAAAAAAAAGAAAATGTGATTTTTTTCCTATGGTCTTTGCTGCGGATCAAAAGGATCTTGATCCACTCGGGCATGACATAGAGCCACCTACGCGTCCTACCCTTCGGCTTTCGCACTTCCTGTTACCTACCAACCATCAGAGCTAGCCGTAACTGCCCCCTAGAATCCAACACCTACGAAAGGCACCAAGTCAGGCCTTTCCCCTGGGTACTCGTGTTAGCCGGGTTTTCCCAGCAATGTTTGACGAGTCACCGTTCGCTATCCACTTTCATGAGTAGCTACCACATCTCGAGTAATACACGCTTGTGCCTTTCAACCACGAACTCTTGTATTAAAAGGGCTCACTAGATGAGTTCCTTATCCCTTGACAAGGTCCGGGATCGGGGTTTCCCCCTAATAGCTTTCGGAACACCCCAGTGATCCGTTACCCAGATTTCTGGGTACGCCAACTAGTGAGACTATGGGTATTACTCAGGTTACACCTTTAGCCCACCGGTCGTGCCCGGGTCCTCGTTTAACTGGACGAGTTGCAGTTCGAAGTAACGCCCATCCCCGGGAAGCTGGGCTCAACGAATTTACGGAGAGTGGACGATACCGCTACCATCTTTCTGGAGAGAGGCTCAGGAACTTTGCCCAGAATTCTGGGATCGTTCGAGAGCTCCTCCCTCCTTCCCCTATCGTGAGATAATAGACACGATAGTTCGGTGGAGGTTAACAAAATTGCACCAGCAAACCAGCCATCGTTATGTGGGTAGGTACAGTGGGAATCTCGTTAATCCACTCGGGCAGTCAAAAAGTCGATCACGCACTTGTTGCACAGCATATACAAAAACGATCAGCAGATTAACTCTCACGTGCATCTTTTCTGGGCGTGCCCCCATTCGAGGATACAGCCTAGGATTAAACGGCGGGACTTTAGATTTAACGCGCATCTTTTCTGCGCACGCCGCCATTTTAGGATACACAGCTCGAGTTAGCCTGCTGATTGTTTTTGTATATGCTGTAATTGTTGGTTCCGTAAGGGACGATTGAGTTTGTTCGCATGAGTTAGGCATCGGTGTTCTGTTTTGCAACTGCTCGGACACATTGCTTGTCAAACCAGGATTTCCGGAACAGAATGTTTTATTGGAGTGTGGGATGTACAATTTCATACCTAAGGAAATTATTTCGAAAACCTCTTGTGCAGTATCGGAGGAATCTTTGGATTTACAGCAAACATCGGATCACGGAGAGGTCGAGAAAAATAGTTTTAGACCTTTCCAGTCTGCAGTTCCATAATGTCACACCCTACGAGGTATTGGAGCAAGGGCTGAAGGTATTACAAATGAACTTAGAACCGAAATCATTTTGTGAGCTGATTTGCCCAAAGGTGCAAACACGTCGATCTTGTAAGGATCAGGATTAGTGGAATGGAACAAATCGAGTAAATCAGCCTAAGAAACGAAATCGTGAATCATGTGGGCTTTTCTACCAACTGGGCTAGGCCGTGTGAAATGACAAATGCTTCAGCAATCCTTCCAGCATGGGTTGTTTTGTTTGAGAACTTAAATCACTCTCAGTTATGAACAATTAAATCTTCCAAGAATAAAATCTCGGAGTTCGGATGAGTCTCCTGGTTAGAATCAAATATACTTGCCAGATTTTCTAATAGAAGTTCATAACTGGAGTTGTTGGGTGAAAGATACACGCAGCAAACAAACTTAACCATGTTCGTAGAAGTCAAATTACATCCTGAGCAGGTGATTCGAGATCATCCTCTCTGTGACAAGAAAGCTCACTACGAGAAAAGACGTTAAGACCCCCCTTAAAGCGAAATCGCGTATGAAGTTCATAGCCGGAACATAGGAGATGGATTATAAACTCCCATCGTACACCCTCCTTCCGGAGATCCGAATGGAAGGGTATTTAATTCCGGAACTCTTTGCACGAAGGATGTCCATCATCATTTATAAACCAAGTCAATGAGGATAAAAAATGAAAAACAAGGATGGAAATAAAGAGATACAGTCTTGAAAATCGAAAGTCAGGCTTCAGGTTCAAAAAATTCGAATCGAATTTACAGGACCGAAATGGAAGCGGAGGGGTGGTACTGCTTTGGGCGAGAAAAAGCTCTTCTCCTACTCCAAGTGATGAATTATGATAAAAGAAGATGATCAAGGGTGATCGGATAGGAAAGGTAAGAGAAGAAGAGGAAGCACTCTCAAGACTAGGTGGAGGACTTCAGCTCGGGTAACTCGAGGTGGGATGTGAACCCCGGAGTGAAGTAAATAATAAACTTATAATATTCCTGCATATTGGTTTTCTCTTTTTTTTTCCATAATCACCGATTTCTCTCGAATATCTCTGTCATTGCTCGTCTGTTTTCTTTTATTTTCATATTAAATTTATTCTCATTAAAAATTATATTTTGCTATTATTATTTTCTGCTTTCCGGTTCTCATGATCTATAAACTGATTGTATCTCCTAGCATCAAGCACTTTCTTTCTTGCTATTTCGTTTTTTTTAATTGTGTTACTCATGTAATATTACTAAGAATTCTATTAAAAACATACGCTGCAAGTCTAACTACCTTGCTGCAAGATTTTTTCTAGTATCTTGAAACATAAATAAATTTTGCATTATCTACAATGCTTCTCTTAAAATGCTGTGCTATGCTATTTTCAAGTTAATGAATGTGTAATTTTCTTTGCAAAAATCTTCCATTTCACCAATTATATATTCGGCCATTGCTACATGTACCTATTGATAAACTTAGTTTGAACAGTTTTCACGCATAGAGGTAATCATCAATAAAAATTACGAAATGCCTATCCTCATCATGACTAATTGGCAATCATAGAACAAATCTAAATTTCAACTCAAACCACAAGCAATGCATTATATTATTTGTTAGACCAAGAGCTCTTTATGCAGCACCGATGCAGATAGAATCCAATAATTAAAATATATTTAAAAAAAAAGATACAAAATGACTAGGTAGATACTCAGAAGCTCATAATTTACCAGAGAAGAAGCAAAGGAACACGTTAAAAAGAAATTAAAAAGGAGGAGGAACAATGTGACTGCCAAAGTCCCAAATTTTTTAGTTTGGGTCTTCGAAAAATTGTATTCGCAAGGTACCCTGCGAATATAAAGAAGACAGAAAAAGACCCCAACAAAAAACATGAAATGTACATCTAAAATGAACAAATCCGTACACACTGATAAAAAAACAACATTGCTTCAAACGCAAATTTTAGGAAGCAGCGTTTATTAACGAAAACAAAAACGTATTCAGCAACCCATGAGTAGAAATTGCAAGAACACAGAGACCCATTTTAGAGGGGCATAAATCATTAAGCCTGTAACCGTAAATTTCAGAAAGGTATGAAAATTCCTGGAAATAATTCCACGTTTCCTCTATGATTGTTTCTGTTTTGATAGCGATCTCCATTATAATTGCCTCTGTAAGTTGTTTTTTGAAACCTCCATGCTTGAAATTCTTTGTGTCCCTCTCAGTATCTTCTAAATGTATTAAAGCGAAATAGTGAAAAGCAAGGAAAACAATAACAAGCACGTTTTTTGTGTCAATAAATACTGTTATCGAGAAGTTGCGAGTTGCGGATTCATTACGTAGAAATTTAGAGTTCAATTTACTGAATCCTGAAAAAAGACAAGCCCAACAATCTCAAACCGATTGTGGAAAACGCATCAATCTTTCTAACGGCGCGGCATTATCAAATATCAGTTGCGCTGTCTCCAGGATAGAGGTCTATGGAAAACTCAAACTTCTCGAAAAACCGCACACCGTCGCTCTGGCCTTCGTCAGTAAAGCGCGATATTTCGTTTCGTTTGCACCGTGTGGCTCTTGGCTCTATTTTGCCGGTGACGTCACGTATAGAGCGCGTAAATCGTCGTTGTTTTGATTGAGTAATGGTAGTTTTGTGTATTTAAATGACCAATAATTACTGACAATATGTGATAAGTAGTTACTTTATTCGTTATTTTTAATTGGACTTTTGTGCCAGTTGAGTACTTTTTTGAAGTTTTAAAGAACTTGAGCTGAAATTAGATCAGGTAAGCGCGATAGTTGGAAAAATATTGATCTTTGCGGCGAGGCGTAATAATAATAATTTAACATTTCGTGAAAGGTTTAATGTAATTTTTTATTTGAAACCATTTTGTTATTGTGCATTTTGTTCAACGTAAATTAATTTCCAATTTCTCCATCGGAAATTTGATATATCTTATTAGCAATATATCGCAAAATTTGACTAAATATTTATAAAAATCATGAAAAACAATCGCTTGAGATTCTACTAATATAGGAACATACTGATAATATAATATGCAGAATTTTGGGTGAAAATCAATTTTGCTAAGTACAGAAAACATTATAGAAGTTTCCTAGTCTGGGAAGGATCAAGTTGAAACGCACTCGAAATCAATTCAAAGTCACTCTAAAATCTTCCTATATTCGTGTACATTTTAAAATGAAATATTCATAAGCACTTTTAGGCTCCTCCGCCTCTAGTTGAGCTCCTTTGATACGAAACGTCACCGTCACGTCGTTATGAATTATCAATTCGAGCTGACTATTTTTGCAAGAAAATGTTTATTATGAGATTCGTCACATGGGTTGTTTAGTGGCTTTTACTTTATGTCCAAAATATGTACATTTACTAATATTTCACTTCACAAACTTTAACATTCGAATACATGATTGCTTAAATTGAAAATAAGATAACATTGAATCAAAATATTTCTTCTTCTTTTTATAGTAAAAAGGCACCAGAAATTCTGTGTGCCTATTTTTCTCTGAAAATATAATATACCTTAGTTTTTCTTTCAATTTCTCTGGACAATTGAATATAATTAAATTTTATACAAAGCCAAACAAATTGCTTTGCAAATTTAACAGTTTCATAATTTTCTTATAATTAATGCATTGACTTGAGCAGGTGCAATTAATAATGAATCGATATAATCTTATTTTCAATTACACTTATATAATGGGTCTTTCATAAACTCAACAGAATGACATTACCAGGAGGAAAAACCTGAGTGCTTTGTCATAATTATCGTTAATGGAAATTTCTAATCTAATATTCCAAATAAATATTGTTCTTTGATCCATTTTGTTAAGGCAAATAAAAATTTTGATTGAATTCATCATGCATGCATATCAGAATGAGATATTTTTCGGCCAAATCCACAAAGCATAAACCTGAACGCTTGATTTAGGTAAATTTCATGCACGATGATTCACTTTATCGAATATTTTGGAGATATCAGTGTGAATTCGTTCAATAGAAAATCTCTATTCTGTAGATAATAGGATTGAGCCTTATTGTATGGGAGACTGGGAGAGTGCTGGATTAGGGTTTAAGATAAGATATAGATGCTTTTTCCAAATATATTAACCTTGTTTTTTAATACTTGTCATTCATTCAAGGTCCATAAACTTTTCCGTTACAGCTCGATTAGTATTTAACATCGAAACCGTAATTTTGAATTTGAAGTATACAAGCCATCTCCTGTGCATAAGACTTGACTGTTCTCGTTAATGTCTACTTAAGGCTTCGTTTAATATTGAATTAACTAAACTCTCATAACGGATAATTTGTATTCTGTGGTCTATTTGTAAATAACTCAATTAGGTTGCACAAGTTTCCTGATTGCATATTGAATTTTGATTAATTCTTCTGTAGAATTAGCATAAAGGTTAATTATACATGGTTGTCGTTATGTATGGAAACGGCCTAATATTTCTGAACAATGTACCATATTTCCCACCTGAGGGGTTTTTGGGAATGCCCGATTCAATGGTGGTATTTGTAGTTCAAGAAATGTTTAATATGTGATGTAATATAACGGATACTAAATTTTTGAACCACTGAACGCTATTGTTGTGATATAGGTAAAAAAAGCAATAGATGGATAGAAAGAATCTAGTTTTATTCAGGTTTAATTACAGAATATTTGCAGAATGCATATCAGATAACAAAATATTCAGAGTCGGAAGTAGACATTTCACAGTGACTGCCATCAAGCTAAGCTTCGCGAGTTCTCAAATAACCACAGAATTAGCCACCTTCGCACCCGCAAAATTCTTTCCGAGACAGACCTACATGTGTACAACTGCACCTTGCTGTTGAACATGAGTTCTCACTTGACCAGCTACATCTTAAACTTTTTAGCAATTCTTATGGTGTTAACCCTTTGTTGCTTGGAAGTTGTATGGGTACTAAAGAGTGTGTTGTTTCGTTCTTTGCCCATCCATAGTTAGTTGGAGGCCAAATGCAAGCTTGCAAATTGCATCGTTTTATATGTAGTTCAAATACCTCTGTTGTCGGAAGGAGTTTTTTAATTTTAGGAGGAATTTTCTTAGATAACCACACTTTATATCGAACATCTGACATGTTGTGAATTTCCTTCTTGTAGCCGTAGCAATGTGCAATAAAGCTTATACGCTCTGCCATACATTGATGCATTTAAGATTCTACACAACCTAAATGTTTAATTTCAATACCATATCTCAGAACTTATACAGTTTTAGACTTTCTAATTCCAAAAAATTATGAAGTGCTAACACAGCCAGTGAGATAATACACTGCTATCAATGAGTTTGCTTGGGTTCCCAAATTATAAACTGTTGCTGCTATATCTGAGAACTTGGCCTTATCAACAGACTCCATCCACATAGCGCATTTAAGATTGATTTAGCTTTCTGTAAAAGTGTACAAGCAGAACAAAAACGTCGGTGTCATCAAATAGAATCTTGATAAGATGAATAACCTGCTGTACAATTATAACGTCTACTTCTTCATGATGAGTTTCCAAATCCAAGCAAGGAATTACAACGCCAGGAGTTTGTAATTCAATTGGGATTGTATCAGTTTCAGTAATGACCAACTTGTGCGGAAGAAACTCACTATCTTGTAGTAGTTGATTACAAATTATGGTTGTTAGTTGTATTTTATTGCATAAATGGGTTAATATACTGTTGCGACGTGGAAGAGGTGTGTCTGCTCTTAGTTGCATGGAAGCACTGTTAACTCCTCTTTTTTACCGCGTTGCTCTCTTTGGACTGTACTCGAAGTACCTATCAAATACAAGAAATGTGTCCTGTTCTTCAACGTGCTTCATGATAACTGCAATCATATTGTTAATATAAGTTTGTATTGTACCAACTTTTGGCCAATGAACATGTTACAAAAGATTACTAGCATCAAAGCATTAACAAATTTTCCCCTAGACAAGACCTGTACTCTCAATTGATTCATTAACTGTGATTTTTGGCAGGACGGATTCATCTCCCCAAATAGTGCTGACGGGGCTGGTGACAGCTCATAACCAAACAAAGTTGGAAGGCTGCATATTTCAACATTACATGTCATTGTTTTGTAGGGCACGTGCGTATATATATACTCGTTTGTTGAACCAACATATGTTTCTTGTCATTTGACAAAGTGACAACTTCCTTTTTCAAAGGAACATGAAATTCTTTCGGCAGTAATTCCTCAAATTTTTGTCGTTACTTTTCTCCAAGGCATATGGCATCTTCCACATTTACTTTCGTGCTTCTAATACGGGCACTATGTATATGAACAATACCACCAGGGTGGTCTTCAATGACCAAAGATTTTATACATGCTTCAAGTTTTTTTCTTATTTTCTGCCTATCCTCCTCATTAGATTTAATTCTTGCTGCACTTTCCTCTTTGTGAATCGTATGCACCTTCTTTGATTCTTCACCAGCTATCATATCTTGTACATCTTTAGATAGATGACCGCAAACATGCAATGATAGGGTCCACTTCTTCACCGTATTTGGTTTCAACGTTATTCCTTTCATTCCACCACGATTTTTACCAAAGCGCATAAATGTTGTTTCAATTAGCATGTCGGTCCATATGCCATTCCATATCCCGGAATTATGACGGGCTACATGCTCACCGCTCAGAAACTTTCCACGAAAAACAGTAAGTAAGATAGTTCCAAAATTTAGAAAAGCTGGATCTGTGCGCAATAAACCAGAAAGTGGTCGTCACAAAATTTGTAATAAAACTAAATTAAATGTTTTAGTCTCGTATCAAGACAATCCCTATTCCAGTACTCAACAAGTGGGTCTGACTCAAAATATTGGATATAAATCTGTATAAAGAGAAATATCCTAAAAAAATGTTTTTTTTCCACGAACTAAATGAGGACTGAATAATGACGGGAATTTCGCAAGGAATATTTTATATGCTGAGTAGGGTTCATTTTGCCTCAAAAGGACATTCAACAGAAATAACTGTAGATATTGGTCGACAGAAAATTCTCACTGGTTGCAAGAGGCCCATACACAGCACCACAGGAGCTAAACGAAATATAATATTAGGACCATTCTTTTTCGAAGACACATTGAACGGAGTGAGTTATTTGGATTTTTTAGAGTTTCAGTTAGTTCCTGCTCTAGCTACCCTATATCCAGATTACTATGATGAAGATACTCCTGAAAGAACCATTTGGCTGCAACAAGACGGTGCGCTGCTGCTTTACGCCAGATCGGTAGGACAGTGAGAGAACGAGGTTTTCCAACATAGATGGAGAATGGCCAGCCCGCTCACCCGATTTAACTCCCTTAGATTTCTTTTTGTGGGGATATTTGAAAGAGATAGTGTAGAAAAACAAGTCATTGGACTCAAAGACATTGAAAGTGAAAATACATTATGAAATTCGACAAATTTCTGAACAGGATGTTCAAAACGAATTTGTTTCACGTTTAGGATACTGCCAAGGTGTAAATGGCTAGCAGTTTGAACATTTAAATTTCCAGGAAGTTTGATAGCTAGAAGAGTTCCAAATGAGTGACCAGTGCGATCCCCGGACTCAACTCCGCTCGACTTCTTTTTGTGGAGAAATTTGAAGAACAAAGTCTACGTTAACCGTCCAAATGATATAGAATCTTTAAAAGTCAGAATTAGTGCTGAAATTCGAGCCATACCGGAAGACTTCCTTTAAAACGTTGTAGATGGGTTCACGGATCGGCTGGCGCTCTGCTTAGTCATTTCGAATACCTGATCCACTGA